AGGAAGAAGTAAAACTGTTCCACTACTGTCTATGTAGAAAATTCAAAGAAGTCTACAAACTCCTAGAATGAATACATGAGTTTTAACTACAAGATACAAGATCAACAAACAATAACCTTGGCAATAAATTGCAAACCAGAAGTAAACAGCAATATAATCTATAGTCGCTCCCCCCACTCAAAAATGAAATACTAAAGTAGGAACATAATAAAACATGTCCATGATATCTTTATGTTGAAATCTAAAAAAATGCTGAGGAAATAAAGGCCTAAATAAATATGTTACTGACTCATGTATTGGAAGATTTACCATAGCAGAGATGTAATTCCCTTCAAACCGATGTGCATATTTAGCTCATCCCCAACAAAACCTTAGCAGAATATTTCTGTATATATAGACAAGTGGATTCAAAAATTTGTATGAAATGCAAAAGAAACTAGAATAGTCAAAACAATTCTGAAAAATGTGAATAAAGCTGGAGGAATTCATTATCTGACTTTAAGACTTTCTAAAAGTTGCCATAATCAGGACAGTGGCAAAGAGATGCAGACAAAGATAAATACAACAAACAGAGTTCAGAAATACACCACATAAATATAGTCACTTGATTTCTGACAGAGATGCAAAGGCAATTTGATGAATAAAGATACACTTTTCAACTAGTAATGTTGCGACAGACCTCATTAAGCGGAAAAAATGAACCTCAACACTAAACCTCTCACCTTGTAGACCAAATAAAACAGAGATCTAAATGAACAATGCAAAATTCTAAGGAAAAATCTTAGGAGAAAAATTTTATGACCTGAGTCTGGGTAGAGTTCATGATTGATCTATGAATGAAAAAGCTGATAATGTAATTCATCAGAATTTAAAACTTTCTCTCCGAAACTAATGTTAAGAGAATGACAGGACTAGCTACAAATAAGAATAAATATTTACAAATCACATATCTGACAAAAGACTCGCGTATCAGTGCCAGCACCCAACAAGTTTGCATGTTTCCACATAGAACATACAGGCAAGGCTTATCCAGCAGCTCTATGGGCAGAATGCCTGATGATCCTCCTGGAACAGGAGAATGGAGGAGGCTGGTGAGGTGCTGTCAGTTCTCCTTGGCTCCCCCACATACCAAGGAGGCTGTCCTAAGTTCCTCATTGTTCTTAATAGGTACCAGGTTCCCTGCCTCATCTTCCTTAAGGCACATCAACAGCTGAAGAGTGCTTAGAAGCATCATGGAATGTTGTCCCCTAAGCCTTGTTGAAGTCACCTTCCCCCTTTTTAGTGTCATCATGCACTAAGGGCACTAAAAGCTGCTAGTTAGCTACTTTTCCTTTTGCTTTGTATGTCAGCAACAAACTGTCTAAAAATGTGCCCACCTCTCCCCCCGCCCACTTTTTCTTGCCAGATAAAATCTGTTAGCCTGGCATTGTCTTGTGTGTGACAGTGTCCAGAATATAGAGAAACTCAGAGCTCAACACTAAGAAAAAAACCAAACCAACTAAAAGGTGGACAAAAGATGCATACAGACAATTCACCAAAGCAAATAGAAGACAAGCATAGGAAAGTTGTTCAACATTAGGCATTAGGGAAATGCAAATTAAAATTATGAGCTATCACTTCCTACATTTTAGAATGGCTAAAATAAAAAATACAAGTACCTGAAGGATATTCTGAACAACTGAACTCTTACATAAATGGTGGGAAAGTAAAATGGTACAGGCATCTGGAAAAACAGCTTGGGAGTTTCTTAAAGTTAAACATACATTGACAATGTGACCCAACAATTTCCCTCCTGGGTACTTAACTTTAGCCAGTTGCTAGATTTAACTTTGACTAAAATGTCCTTAATACAATGAATGAACAAACCATGGTACATCCATAGAGTGGAATATAGCTTACCACCAAAAAAGGAACAAGCTACTGATTCATGCAAAATGGATGAAACTTAAATGTATTTTCCTAAGCAAAGAAAACATTCTCAAAAGGTTACATACTCTATGATTCCATTTATATTACTGTCTTGAAATGACAAAACTATAATGACAAAGATTAGATCAGCAGGTGCCACAGGGTACAGCTGTACAGGGCTGATGGAATTGTTCTGTATCCTGATTATGGTTACAGCTGCATGAATCTATATACCCTAAATTTCCGAGAACTTTACCAATACCAAAACAAGGGGAAAATATGTGGGATGTTAATTTTTACAATTGAAAGAGAAAAGGAAAAAAGGGAGGATTTTTTAGAATCTTAGGAGACAATACAGTCAAATGGAATTTGGAGCCCTTGTCTAGATGCTGATGGAACAAACTAAAGAAGGCATTTTTGATTACATCGAGGAATATTTGATGTGAACTTGTCATTATGTTAAATTTAAGGTTTTGAAGTATGATAATGGCCTTCTGGCTGGGTAAAAACTTTTCATCAGTTAGATTCTGAAATACAGGTATGTGAAATAGCATTAAGTCTGGAATTTGCCTCAAAATACTTGAGAAAAGTGGGGGAGAAAGACTAGCAAATATTGAAGCTGGGGGTTCATTATATTGGATTTTATTTTTTAGTATACCTAAAGTTTTCCATAATTTTTTCTTGCAAATAATTTTTTTAAATGCAGAACTTTTCACATCTACTGCAAAACTGTCAGCACAGGTCTATCTACAACTGGTTTCAATCTCAATGTCAAATCTTTCCAATGAGTACAAATAAATACTGTGTACCAAAAATAATACTGACATGAAAAAGGTCTAGAAAATTTATACTGAGCAATAAACTAATAAAATTACTAGATTAGTTAAGATTTATAGTTAAATTTTAAAATAGCAAATCAAAACAGTTTTCAATGACACCATCAAACAAAGGGTAAAAGTAATTTTAACACAACAATTATGATTTTAAAAATCTCAGCCTAAAAGCAAAATTACTAGGACTTTACTTTCTTATTAATATTTACACAGTGCTTTCTTGCTTTGTCTGTCCAGATTGTTCTTCTGAACATTATTATGTTTCTTGAGCACTCAGTCCTGTGAGATACAGAAGATAAATTCCCTCCCTAGTGGATAACAATCAAAGCCACACAAGCAAGGCACAAAGATTAGCAATTTAAGAAGTGAAAACCAAATGAAAGGTTGAGAAGCAGTCTGAATTCCTGTTTCCTTGCAGCTTTAAGTCCATGATACATTTTTGTGATATAAAACAAGACTAAAGTTCTTAAGATAAAGAAAACCACCAGTTTAGAAAATAGGAAAAGAAATCCCAGAAATCATTGCAAGAAATGATTTCATTTTCTGATCTATAATAAGTAGAACTTAGTTCTAGCTCTAGAGAACTAGAATAGCTCTATGTGTGTGTAGATTTGGGTCTGCTCAGCCAACTTTTCTGTTCCCTTTCTTTTGGTAATTCCATCCTCTACTTCAGGAACTGCTTTACCCGTTCATGTAGTCCTGTCAACCATAGTGCTGAGCTCCCCTGCCTTATAATGAGGTTGTGGCAAAGGATGCAGGAATGGTGCAATCCAATGTCTCAAAATGAAGTTCTTCTTCAGTGTCCAATTCAAAGAGCAATAGAAATAAAGGGTATTTCCTAAGTGATGGGAGTTCTAAGCCCTAGAACCAGGTTCTCCAGACCCTAGTCCCTATAGCCAACTGTGCCATCTATTTAAACCACCACTCAAATTTTTTTCTTAGAATGTTCTAAATTGGGCTTTTCTTCATTTGCACCTTAAGAAAGCCTGAGTTAGGCCCAATGCATTCAAACATAGGACTGTCTACTTCTACACAGACTTTTCCTACCATCTCATTTGCTTTTTATCTTACAAAGGTGATGATTTATTCCTACAATGTCATTTCTCTTAAGATTCAGGATGAATCTTAAGGTTATGGTGGTGGTGGGTGAGAGATATCAAATCCTTTAAACTTTCTGTTTGTAGGAGGAAGGAGGAAGCTACAAATATTGTAATAATAACTTATTTTAACTCATTTTCATGGTAATTAATGCATATGAAAAGGACCCTAAGCTGGCAACCACACAAGTTTTGTCCAACAGAAAATCAAGGCTGTGTACTTCAAGGAAAGAAGGAAATTTTCTTCCTTTGCTTTACCCAGTAGTAATTGTAAGGCAATGCTTAAGTTCTTAAAGGTGAACAAGAATACATTTATTTCCATTTAAAAATGACTTTATTCACTGTGTCATGTTGACAATTTACAAATTAATAGTTTTATTTTTATAATTACTTTTAAGTCTCAAATCAAATGTGATTTACACTTTCTAATTTCAAATGCTTATTTAAATTATTAAACAATATGATTAGCATTTACCTTATTTGTTATTACTTATTTCTTTATTCACTTATTAGCAGGGATCTTGCCAAGTTTGTTTGTTACTCATATTTTTAACAGCCTATTTAATAGAAGATATACAGTATTTGCTAAATATAAATAAACTGCACTGTTACAAAATGAAAGCTACTGGACTAGAGGTGTAGCTCAAGTGGTCGAGTGCCTGATTTGCTAACTGAAGCCCTGAGTTCAAACCCCAGTCCTCCCCAAAAAAGAAAAAGAAAGTTACTGTTTGATACCTACCATTATGTTGAAATTTAAGGATAATGAATTATTCTGTGAACTCCTATAAATTAAACTGGAATGGAAATCTGCTGAAAGCCCAAGCATTAGTAGTTAAGAAATTAAGCACATTCTCTCAATCACAGCAGCTCCTCACTCATCAGCATTTCACAAGACATTCTGCACAAAGGTTTTTTGTTTGCTTGGTTTAGGTTTTACTTTATTTTTAATTGATACACAATATTTATAGGGTACAGTGTGATGTTTTGTTTGAAGGGTTCCATTAATTACTTAAAAACAGGGTTGGTGGAAGCATGAAAAAACCAAAGTTGTAGGGAATTCACAGCAAAACGTGGCTGAAATGACTTTACATTCTAAGTTACATTTCTTTTTCCCATTCAAAGTTCATATACTATAAAGTATTAATGTTTTTATAGTATAAGAATATAAAATCATTTCTCCCTCAATTTTAAGGATTCAAGAAATTCATGCTTTTTGGAATAATGAAACATTATCTAGAGTCAGAAAATCTTTGACATTTTACTGTATAAAAAATTAAAAGTAAAACCTTTTATGGGAGAATTTTAAACTCTTTGGTTTCAAAGATTTCTCCTTCCACTGTGTTAATCTTTCATATTCTATTTCTTTCTCAACAGAGAGCACACTTAAAAATCATGTTTAGCGTTTCCCTCCTTTTCAGGTTACGTTTTCAACTTGAGTAGATTTAAAAGCAGATTAGCTATAATAGGATTCTGGATGTGGGCAGATGTCTACTTGTCATGGACGATCTGTCTTGCAATCAGCTCCTTCATTATTTCATTGGTACCACCATAGATTGTCTGAACTCGGGCATCCACATAAGCTCTGGATAAATTAGAAGATAATTGAATTTATATAAATAAAAGAAATTAGAAAGTTGCAATTTTATCTCACCACAAACTGTTAAAAGTATTCATTAAATGAAATCCAAGCAATAAAATTTCTACATAAATTACTTACTTTTCCAGTATAGCATTCATCCTAGATTGATACATTAAATACCTATTAAGATATTGGTAATCTATATAGCTTTTACTTTGATTAAGACAATTACAAATTCAAAATGACATTTAAATGTATTTCATCTGATTTAATTTTGTAAAATTCAACACACATAATAGCATTCTAAAGTCTGTTTTAAATTTAGTTACATGGAATATCTTAATTTCTTATTCTTTAATATTTCACTATAAAGTTGAAATCCACTAATTTTAAAGAAAAAAAACTAAGAAATTACTTGTTTTCCAGAATTCATTTAGATCTTACCAACACAATCACCACCAGGAGTATAAACTGATGCCTTAGAAAATGTTACTTCCCACAAGGTTAACAAGTAACTTATTTGTTGGAAATGATTAATAGTCACTCCTGTAACATGTGGGGTTAAAATATTAAGTGGCTGAGTTCAGTACAAGACACATACAAGCAGGCACACAGATTACCGTGTTGCTAGGGATTGAACCCAGGGCCCTGCTAGGCAAGTGCTCTACCACTGAGCCACAACCCCAGTCCTAGGAGTTTACTTCTCATAGCCATGATATCAACCAGGCCACTGTACAGTTGTTTTTACCTTTTCTCATCTCAATTTAACCTCTTAGCTCTGGGATCAGAAAGGATAAGTACCATGATTGTTTTGTAAGGAGAACTGAGATTCAGAGAAGTCAATACATTTACTGAGCAATGGCTACCATTTAGTGGTCACTTAATAGATGATGAGCAGGCTGGAATGAGAATGTAGTATCTAGCCTCTTTGGCAAGTGTATTTTTATTATACCACAGTACTGGCCCAGGCATTTGGGGTTAGGTATTGACCTTTAAGCTTTCCTTGTAGACAAATTCAAAGGCATTTTTTTCTCAAATATAAAATTTGGGTTTTAATTATTTCATTTTTAAGACAAATAAAATGTGCTAACTCTTTAGGAACAAGCCAATTCTGGACTTATGCTTTTCCATATTCTTAGTACCCAGCAGACAGGTGAACACTCACTAAATACTTACTAATATGATTTACTATACTACAAAGGAAATTAAGAATCTCAGAACTTCATGATTCAAGTTTTAAAATTTAGAGACATTTGTGTTTTCAAATATATATTTTTTCGGGGCAGGTTTTGTTGTTCCCCACAAAATGAAGCACTTGCATTTTGAGGGCATTCCTGGCATTTCAGCCTATTTCAGCTATCTTAATGCTTTTGGACATTTTTGGAGTAGGTTGGGCTTTTTTTATTCCACATTAAAGAAGTTCCAGTGGAGTATGTAATGACAGATCGGTAGACCTTTTATAAGTTACTAATTAAATTTAGTCATCAACTAAAATTAACAGACAAAGGCAGCAGAAGAAATGTTTAACTATACAGCAATGAAGCTCTCCATTTCAGACTGCTCTTCCTACTGTAGCAGAGAAATCTTCAAATGTACCAACCTAAGCCTAACGAGTCAGAGTGAAATAAACCTGTATGCTGAAGGCTAGTTACTTAAAAACAAACAAAAAAAAGACCTGTGAAACCAAGACTCCGCCACATAGATATGTATATACATATACATACACACAGACACAAATAATGTAGCTTAGTATGAGGGATATTTATACAAGTAGAATATTTTCTTCTCTTAAATCAGAATTTATACACTATATATTGGCTTTTTTGATATTTGGTAGTATTAGGATTCCCTACATCTTTAGGAAGAGAAAACATAGACCAGATAAAGATTCACACAATCTTTGAATTAACAAGCTTGTCAAGAAAGGATAATCATTATTTCTTAAAGAAATATAAATCTCTCAAACTGAAAGCAGGGATTTTTAAATAAGCCACTAAGCTACCCTTTTTCTTGCTACTGACCTAAAGGAATGGATTCTGAGAAAACAGACCTTATGCCACACTTATGCCATATTAAACCAACGATATGACTGATTCCTCTCCCTAGCATGCCTTTCTTAGAATGTGAACTAAACTGTACAAACACAACATGTGTACATTCCCAGCAGCAGATGTAACAACACAGTTAAGCATAAAAATATAAACACCGATTATTATTTTACTTTCTAACCACTCTGAATATTAAGAAGATAGGTGAATGTTGTGAAAACATAAAAATGCACAGGAAAAATTCTAGTGGTTACTAACTTTGTGCTAGGATAACTCGAAGTTTACTTCTGATTTCATGTCTATGCAAAGATTTAAAAAGAAAAACCTGCTTTTGGTTAAGGCCTATTTGAAACAGCTCTGAAAAGACATTCCAAAACCTAAGGCCAATGACTGATTTTTTTTTAAAGAAATCATTTAGTTACATCATGCCTATGTTCACAAGAAGAAAAAAATCCTTGTTGTTGCTGAGCTTTTATAAGGGGTTATAAATTATATATACCCAGTAATTAAAGTTTTCTGAGCTGCTCAGCAACTAGAGAAAATTAGCAAATTTTATTTATGCTGGAGCTTCCATTCTTAGCTTAGTAAAACTTTTATAAAATGCTTATTTTAATGATTATAAGCATATCAAATACTTTCAATTATGCTTGTCAAAATAATAAATTCAAAAGCATTAGGCTGGCAGTTTAAAGAGAAATTTAGTGAGGCTTCCCTTTACGTACTCTATATTCAGATAAAAATTTGGAAATTTCTGGAAGTCTGTAGCATTGTTATTTTTCAGATTCAGAAATAAATTGGCCTTTTCTATATACATCAAAAACTTCCTTGGGATTTTTTCTTTTTGGGGAGGGAGCACTGCATGAGTTTGAATGCAGGGCCTTGCACTCTACCACTTGGCCATGCCCCCAGCCCTTTTGCTTTGCTTATTTTTTTGGAAAGGGTCCTGTGCTTTTTGCCTAGGGCCAGCTTTGAACCATGATCCTACCTGCCTGGAGTATAGCTAGGTGCAAGCCCCCTACCCAGCTTGTTTGTTGAGATAGGGTCTCACTAACTTTTTGCCTGACTAGCCTTGAACCGTGATACATGTGATGCCTGCCTCTACACATGTGCCACTACACCAGGAACCTTGGGAAGATTTTATGAACTGAAAATACTGTTAAGGAAGTGGAAAAATATTTTCTAGGGTGAAAAGAAATGTCATGGGGAGGCTACTGAGGCACTACAGAAAGAAGGGAAGAGGAAACGATGGAAAAGACACTGCCTACTTACAAATTGGTTCTGTTGCCAAGTGTAGAAAATTCACACCTAACACAATGAAAAGAGGTGGTGTGCTTTCTTTAATCAGAGGAGATACAAATTGCATTTGGAAAAAAATACTTTTATTTTTCAAAGCAAAATAAATAATCAAGTATTTAAGTTAAGACATCTTAGATCCTATTCTGTACTGCTATTTTTTGTTTTCAAAAAGTAGCTGGGATGTGGCTCAGTGGTAAGTACTTGCCCAGCAGGTGAAAGGATGTATGATCCACAGCACTGCAAAAATTAAATAAAGAAATTAATTAAAAGTAACAGATGTCCTCAAAGTCACGCATCAAGCTTTAGTGTACTGTTCTCTTCACTTTCTTTAAAAACACCAAAGCTTAGTGATGAGTTGATAAAATAAAGCTTCTTCAATTTGAATGAATATACTCCATAGTCATTTGTACAATGTAAATATATTGTATCATCGTTCACTGTGTCTTTGGCCTACAAAGTACAGGAAAGAAATTTTCTTTCTTCACATTATTAAGAGAATAGCAGAGCCACCATACTCACTTTGCAATTGGATACTCCCACATGTATCCCCAGCCTCCGTGGAGCTGTACACATTCATAAGCTACATTGTTTTGTAATTCAGAGGCCCTAGATGATCAAAACAAAGAGCAGAGAGTTTGCAATGGATTTTCATCAGGTGCTTTATAATCATGAAAAATGTATGATTATTAGGTATGCATAATTATCAAAAGTAATTCAAATAAACAAATGAGACATCCAGAGAAGGGCATAAAAATTACGTATGAAATAAATTTCAATAGTTTTCACATAAAGAATATCTTCATCAGTTCTATTTCTGGCTGGGTTTTTATTAAATATAGACAACTGAGAATATTAGGTTTTGGCTATTTAGGGCTTAAAAAGTTGAATCTAAGTTATTTAGATTCTCTGTATCATCTAAATTACTCAGCCACTTAGTATCTTTTTGCCTTTGTAATACCTTTTTACTCCAAAGATGTCATTTTTCTACCTGAAATGAAAAAAATTTTTTTTATGGTTCTGACTTTTCAGAAATAAACCGAAGGTAAAAGTGAAAACCTAAGAGGGTAGACTGTGAAAGTGCATGCATCAAAAAGGAAACATTAAAAACTTATTTGGGGATTATTAACACTAGAGAAGAAGTCGGGGAGGAAGGGAGAGAGGGAGGGAGGAGGGAGAAGGAGAGAGAGAGGGAGAGGAAGGAGATAGAGAGAGAGGGAGGAGAAGGAGAGGGAAAATGTATTAATGTGAAGAATTAAGAAAAAAAATCTTTTCTGACCCTTTCACAATTCTGTTTGCTTTACAGAGATGGGGCTGGAACCCAGGGTCTCCCACATGCTAAGCAAAAGCTCCAGTGAGCTTACCCAGCAACAATAATAATGATTATTGAAATTCACAAGGCAACTGGTAGGAATTTTATTCACCTTAACATAAAAATATAAATTCAAATTATTTTCTACTTATTTTTCAATAGATGGAAACATAAGGCAAAGTTATGCACAGACGTATTTTCCTATTCAAAAATTTTTTTAAATCGAGCCACAGGACAGGTGAGAATGTTCTTAAGAAATGCACTAACAACATAATGATTAACAGACAAATCTCTGAGGGCAACACTATTTGGAATTCAATAATTTTTGTATTTGGCAAGTATTTTAGTGAAATATTTACAGGGCTAAAACTATTGCTCTCCCTCCTTCAATGCTAAGTACCATTATGTTCATAAATCTGGTATTTCCAAAGAACAAAGTCAAGAACTATGGAAGCATCTCTTTCCCCAAAAACATCTAAAATTCTTTTTTGAATTTTTTTCCCACTCAACAAAGGACTTGCTATAAATGTTGAAAAGTCTCCCCTTAAGTGCAAATTTTTAGAGATTTCACATTGACATTTTAACCTGCCAATTATATTATGGAATCATTACATAAAAGTGTTACAGGGGTCTATTTTCAAATAACTTATCTTTAATACACCATTGTTAATCATCTTTAATTCAAATGAAAGTCATTTTAAACTTAATAGCACATTTTTTCCTTTCACTTAATAGAACATGTACAACTTTTGACTGAAGAGTCAATAATTCAGTACTTTTTTCTTAGATCTGGAAAACACCTTACATAGAAAAATCCTATCCAACCTAATAATTTCACAGATAACACAAAACTGTCCCAAGAGAGTTAAGTTAGTAGGATTAATCTAAAGGAGAACTTGTACTTTATTCCAAGACCCCCAAGTTTTACTGTTCTTTCAGTCTTGCCACACTGCCACTCTTCAGATAATCTGAAATTAAACTATTATTTGAATGTACTAATCAGTCTCTCTACTTCAGTCTCTTAATATTTTAGTTGCAATAAGCAAGTTATGAATTCAATACCAAAGGTTTAAGTAATTTTTTAGTACATTATAAATAGGCCTAATGGGACTTTTCAGCAGCTTTTTTAAAAGCTGACGCTCATTGCTATTTTCCATTTATACAGCCTTCTTCCTTTAATACCTTCAAGGCTGAGTTGAAAGCTGGCAGAATTCCATAGTAGTCTGAGCAAACACCACATTTTAATTACTGTAGCATGCATACCAATATTTCGCCATGGAAGCAGAGGCAGAGTCCAGACGTTTCGCTTCATGCAGCTGCAGACAGTTGTCCACAAAAGCTCTGGTTACACATATGTGTGTTTTTAATTCTGCTAGTTTATGCTGCACGGTCTTAAGTTGAAAGAAAAATTGAGCATGGTAAGAGTACACATTTTGACTCAGCATCTCAAAATTATATAATAAAAGATCTTTAGAGCAAAACAAAAGTGGAATTGCTTGAGTTTTCCTCCCAAAAAAGGCCAGGGGAGGACGGGAGGGCAGAGGTAGGCACATGATAGTCAATCAACTTAAAAACCCAGTATATTTTTCAGTGCTAAGGAAACCTGTACTAAAAGAGGTAAAGATAGGTTAATACATAAATTAGATCTAATACTTCAGACTCAAAAATTTAGATTGTTAATCAATACTGCTTGAAAAGCAGCATGATTTTCATGTATGACCACCACCTTGTGGTATCCTTTAGGTATAGCCGCTGAAAATACCTATTTTCCTCCAGAGACTAAATCCTTGAAGATTCATTATCTACCAATAGCTTGCAGTGAAATAATAAAGTAACAAGCTAGAGGGATAAGATCACAATCATATATATATCAAAAATATTTATGTTAGAAATTATTTATAATTTAACATTGGAATCAGCACTCAAGAGATCAAAGATCAGTCCCCAGGACCCTCCTCCCCAATCTCCTATCCCTCTGAAGTTTGTCTAGCCAGTTTCTAACATGAAAGGAATGGTCTGGAATCGTCAATATTATGTATCTAGCATCTCCTGCTACCATTGGACTATTTCCAATAGTATTCTTGGAAATCATTCTAGTTAGACCATCCTCAATTGTTACTTCTTGTTCTCCCTTCAATCAAGTTTTATTTCATTCTTGACTCCTGGCTCTCATGTCCTAATCTCTGAAGTTTACAACTGTTCTCTCTGGTACCAACTCTTCAATCTCCTTCAGGAAACTGGCTTGGACGTGAAATACTGGCACATTTTACCTTGGGTAGACTCCAAAAGTATACCCTATTCTAGCTGACTTCTTTGGTCTCAGGCCTAGCTAGTCAGCTGGCTCTATCATCCTTGTGGAAATTCAGATAGAAATGGCTCTGATCATTCTGCGGAACTTATGAGACATTCAGTGTGACTAACAAAAGGCACACAAATGGAAGTTAGAGACAAAGTGGTACAGTGAAACTCCACAATTAGACATTAATGCATCCCATCTATATAATTCTGTGAACCCAAAGGAATGCTTGAGATCTCAAAGGAGGGTTGTAGGCCCAGATTCATAGGGGATGCTGGACCTGCTTTTCCAAAAAGCTGGCTGGCTACAGCAATTCTCAAAATCATAAACCTGAATCTTTCAGACTCATGTGGTGGGGACAGTTTGGATACTTTATTTCTGGAAAATCAAATAATGGGAATATGGTAATGACCCAGTAGCTGCTCTGGGTGACACATTCTTATAGATGTATTAACATAACTACTGTGCTGATGAAAATCCCGACTGTCTTTCCTTCAGTTTTGTACCGCTCAAGAAACAGGGATTGTTAACCGGCATCTAATGATTCTAGTCTCTAGCAAACATCAGCTGCTAATTGTTCCACACATTGTTAGCAGGGTGCTTTTGTGAATAACAACATGCTCATACCATATCCCTAACAGTCATTAATATTTGCTAATAGGTAATACTGCAGCTACTGTTAAAAATATTCTTCTCAAGTTACTTAAGGGAACTCTTTTTCAGAGTTCTAATGACAACATCTTAGAATTTTATAATTTGGAACAGACCTTGTAGAGGTTACCTAACCCAGTAAGTTTTAAAATTAGCATTAGTTACACTATATTATGACTTAAATATGAAATTAAAAAAAATTAGATGTGCTACGTAGTTTTACAGCTAATTAATCCCATGCTCAAGGTTCTAAAAAGTGAATATTCTCTTTTCAGATGCATGGAAGGAAAGTGCCACTTCTTCTCCCTCTCCTATTCCCATTCTCCTTTCCTTAATACTTTGTGCCTTTAGAATCAAGAGCACATACCACACAGGAAATGACTAAGCGCTCTCGTTAGAAAAAGAACATTCCATTTTCACTTCATTGCCCACTAGGTGAAGGAAACAGGAAAAGAAAAATGAGCCATGCACTTTAAACTTCTGGGCAAGAAAAACAGTGTATGGTTTAGAGTGTAGGTTCTAGCCAGGTGCAGTGGCTCAAGACTGCTACTGGAGAGGTGGAACTTGAGAGGGTCATGGTTCCAGGCCAGTGGAGGGGGATGGTACTGGTTTGGGAGACATAAATCTCAACCAATGGCACACACCTGTCTCCTATTTGCAGAGAAGCAAATAGGAGACTAACCATTCAGGCCCGCTCAGGCATAAAGTGAGACCCTATCCCCAAAATAACCAAAGCATAAAAGGCTGGCAGCATGGCTCAAGTAGTAGAGTATTTAAGGCCCTGAGTTCAAACCATAGTACCACAAGAAAAAAAAAACAAAAACAAAAACAGAAAGCATAGCTTCTGGAATTATTTGTGTAATTTTGGCAAGTTAATTAACTTCTCTCTGCCTCAACTTCCTTATCTGTAAGATGAAAATAATTATTACATACAGTTTTGAAGGAAAAAAAGAAAATTCGCTTAGTATGTTCTCTGGTATATAGGGAGCAGTCAATAAATGATACCCATTATTATTTAACATTTGAATTTTATTTTTTATTGGTTGTTTCAGGGAAAATCATGAATATCAGCTATGGAGAGTACAGATTTTTAAAAATCTTATATGACTATTGTCACTTTAATATGATAGCTGTCTATTCTAAAAAGGAAATATATTTTATGACATGTATCAAAATGGTCAGAAAAGCCAAAAATGTCCAAAGTTCAAGTATAATAAAAAGAAACTGAACAGTTATGTGGTCATAAAATGACAACTGAAAATATAACACATAAAGGTCTATTTCAGTTGAATGACTAGAACCATCGTGTATTCAGCTCTAGAATAGACAGTATGAGCCATGTATTGGTCATTTATCTTCTCTGCACATTTTCCTAACTTGAAATAGAGTATACTATTAAAGATACCCATTTAGAGATGGAGTGGCTGAAGTGGCAGAGCACCTGCCTAGCAAGCATGAGGCCCTGAGTTCAAACCCAGTATCACCAAAAACTTTTTTTAAAAAAAGATACCCATTTAGATAAAATAGGAAAATTGGAAAACTAGCTCAGAAAAATCAAAACGTATACACTTACTTGGAAAGTAATACTAGTTTGTATCCAAAATGAACAAGAGTGATACTGCCACCTACTGAAAATTTAGTGAACTTCCTTTGCAGGAAGGTAACAAATGACACTTGCTTTACAAAACAGGATTACTATTTTTTGTCTTTTTGCTATGAAAGTGTAACAGTCATGCATTGCTTAACAAAATAGGGAAAAATTCCAAGAAACCTGCCATTAAGCAATTTCATCATCGTGTGAGTATTAAATCTAGATGGTACAGGTCAATCACTCAATATGGTCTCTTACTAGAATCAAGACAGGGCAAATGATGTATGAGGCTAATGCAGGAATAACATGGCACACTGTTTTACAGTAAAAATTTTAATAATTTGAAGAAGTATACTCAAAAATAATGACAAAAGAGGAGTGTAACAAATATGTAAGTAGCAAAGTCATTAATTATCACGTATTATGTAATGTGTATTAGTTATGCCTGGTACTTTCATATGATTGATGGTTCGCCTACACCAGCTTCTCCACAGCCAACCAAGTAATATACTGAGCTTCCATGTTAGGGTGGCTACACGGTAGCCATCTGCACTGAGTAACATGCAGTCCACTGTTCACCAAAACAGTTATTCATCACATGACTACATTTTTTTTTTTTTGATACTGGGGTTTGGACTCAGGACCTTGTACTTCCTAGGCAGGCACTTTACCACTTGAGCCATGCTCCCAGCCCATAACTACATTTTTAAAAGAACCTTTTTCCCTTATGAGAAAATAATACATCAGTTTCCCATCTTCTTCATGGTTAAATGTCAAATCACATGTTTTTTGAGCTACTCGGCCAATCTGGTAATAGTAGAGTCATCTTTGTTGTAATCCAATATGAAATCAATAAACAGGAAATGTATATTCCCAAAGGGATGGAAATTATGTCTAGTTAGTTCAATTTTTACAGTTGCCAGAATAAGGCTGGTCTTATTCTGTAAAAACATTTTAATAAACATTAAATGTGGTAATTGTTGGATTTCAAAAGCAAATGATGACAATTCCACTTGGAGTACAAAGTACTCCAAGTAGAAAGCTGCACTGTGATACCAAGTGGTATAACCTCCTTCATATTGCCAGGAACTTTGGTGTGCATTTCCAGAGTCACACTTACCAAGTTACATTTCTGTGTTCAGAGAAATAAAAAGAAACAAATCAGGCATACCAGTATTTCTCAATAGGAGATAGATTATCAGTTATTTTGAGTGAAATAACTCATTGTAATACAAAGCTACTAAGAATTACAGGACATTTAATAATACTGTACTCCCTGAAGGAAACTAAATACAAGTGATACCTCTAGTCACTGTGTACCCATCATCCTTGACATTTCTATATGCCTAAGGGGAGAGGGCAGGCACTGAGAATCACTGACATGTACAAATCAGTGATCCACAAATGAAGGGAATAGACAATATAATATCCTTGTTCTTAGCCAGGCAAGCTGGCACACACACCTGTTAATTCCAGCACTCAGGATGCTGAAGCAGCAGAATCTTGAGTTTGAGGCTACATGGCAAAACCCTGTCTCAAAAAACATGCACACACACACACACACACACACACAAAATCCTTGCTCTTAACAAAATCATAATTTAGGCAAGTCAGTTGTGCTTCTTGCTGTTATATTTCTTTTTTAATTGTATTCTTCACTGAATGTGTGTGTTCCTCACTTTTATAGATTTGAAACAACTGTTCTAGGTCTGTCATATCAACAGGATAATAAGGATTAAAGACTTTTTGTCAGGATAGAGAAAAGTTAACTTGATAACTATGTTAAGTAGCAAACAGTTCCCAAAAAAGACACAGAGGAGGTCCAGATCAGGAGCAACATTAAGAAATTGGTAAAAAGGCTCCCCATATTTGAAAAAAGTAGAAGGAAGGCATTTTTTTTTTCCTGGCGATACTGGTGCTTGAACTCAGGGCCTCATGCTTGCTAGGCAAGTGCTTTACCACTTAAGCCACTCTACCAGAGGGAAGGCATTATTTAAGGGAGAAGTAATAATAACAGCTGACTTTAATGAGGTATTACTTTGCTAAGCAATATTCAAAGCACTTTATGTATATTATTCCATCAAATTATCACAGTAACTATATGACATAGCTACTAATATTATTCATAAACAGGAAAACATTTCTATTTGTGAATAAATTTTACAAATCTCATGACTTTTAAGATTTTACCAATATAAACTATAACAATTTTGCATATCAGATAAATTCTACAAATCTTTCAAGCAGGAAAATATTTCTGAGAGAACACAACTTGCAAAGCACATTTGAACATCATCTCTGTAATACTGGAACTAAAAATTACCGTGTTTCATCTCTACCTTACCCTTCATGAGCTTTTCAGCTAAAGTCATTCCATTTAAAATTTTTAAAGAAGAATTCTAACTCAAAGTTTTCTGCTAGTGAGATGTTTCAGTTTAATGACTACACTGCTTATAAACTGTTCCTTCTTTAAGAAGAAACTAGAGCAGCCAAAATTTGGTCTTACTGCCTCTTACCTGAAATCCTCTTTCTTCCTGACTCCTGTGACAACACTCCTAATTTGTTTTCTCCTTCCTAACTTTCACTCCCAATTGTTTTTGCAGATTTTTCCTTTCCTGTTCCAACTTCATATCTTGTAGTTTTCCTCAGTACTCTGTTGTAGGCTCTCTTTTTGACTTATTTTCTACTGTTTCCCCTAGGAATCTCATCCACTTCCATGGTTTCTAATATCACCTTATATCAAAATTATGCCAAACTTATATTTACCCTACACTCATTTCAGACGAGTAAACTGATAAATGATTATAAAACCATAACAGAAAACTTACCTGTATGTGTGCAACTGTTTTCCCAAAAGCTTTTCTTTGCTTAACATAGTTCCTGGTTTCTTCAAACATGAATTCACAGGCAGAGATTGCCAAATCAGCAATTAATAGCCTTTCCTATAATCCCAAAATGAAGTATTAAACATTTTCTAATTATAGAAATGATTTTCACACAACTTCAATTACTAAAACTCCTAAATAATCTTTCTAATAAACTCTTAATCTCAACTCTTTATAAGAAAAAGCCCTCACTGATTTATGATTATTTTGATATAGCTGTGAGAGTAATTCTTTAAGACAAAGCCTTTATTTCTACAAATGATTGTCTTTATTATACGTATGTAATTTATAGTTGAAGACTTTTATTTTCTGAGCTCTGTGTATTGTGTAACTTAATACAACATCTTAAAGTGCACAGGTTAAATTCTACCTATTAGTGCAAAACTAGCTTTAGTCAGCTTAATTCCATCACGCTGGAATTACTTAATTCTACATGTCACTTAGTGACGGTGTTTCTAGCTCTTTACCCCAATTTCATGTTTAGCTCACATGGTGGCAGTCTCCAGGCAAACTGACCTCCTTATGCCAGCATGTAAGGCCCAGTGATTACTAAGCAACTACATTTCAAAAACAGATGTAGAAATGACTCCTGTGACTAAAACTTTTCAGTCTGAACTTAATACCTTTCCCCTTTGATTCACAGTTATTTTAAAACTGCCAAATGTTTTTGGTGATATTTCCTTACAAAAAGCTAAAAGCTCTTGACTAATAGTTAAGAAAATGAAATTGTCCTAAGAAGGAATCACAGAAGTGAAGTATCTATTCTCGTCACCAACTTTAAAAGTTTTGGTAGAATAAATGCTGGTGAGGATGTGGGAGAAAAGGAACACTTCTACACTGTTGGTGGGAATGTAAATTAGTGCAACCACTATGGAAAGCAATATGGCAGTCCCTCAAAAAACTAAAAATAGAACTACCATATGACCAGTGATACCTACCACTCCTAGGCATATGTCCAAATGTATTCCAGGGTATGACAGAGCCACTTGCACACCCATGCTTACTGCAGCACTATTTACAATAGCCAAGCTTTGAAAGCAGCCCAAATGTCCCACAACTGATGAATGAGTTAACAAAATGTGGTATATATACACAATGGAATTTTATTCAGCCATAAAGAAGAAATAAATTACATTGTTTGCAGGTAAATGGATGGAAATGGAGAATATCATGTTAAGTGAAGCAAACCAAACTCAAAAAAAGCAAAGGTTGTGTGTTTTCTTTCCTATGTGGAAACTAGAACTGTAAGTCAAATATATATGAGAAACATGTATGATCATATATATATATATATACACATACACATATATATATATATACATACATATATGTATGCATAGTAACAGAGAGAACAAAATTGTATTAGTGGGTTTGTTTGAGGGGTTTACAGGAGGTATGAGAGAGAAAAAATATTAGAGAATGAAAAATATTGAAACAACCCATTCTATATGAATAAAATATAATGAACTGTACAGTAAGCTATTGAATATTAGGGAGCATGGTGATAAGAGAATGAGTTAGTAACAGAGGGGAGGGGGCTAATTTGATATACAGACCTAAAGTACCAAGATGAAATCCTCTTGAACTATCAATACACACTTAATTTTAAAAAATGAAGGGCAGGAGGAAAAAATAAATCTTATCCTGGGGTGAGAACCAGCAGGGGGTGGGGGTGGGGTGGCACAAGGAAAGGGGGAATGAGGGTGTATATGGTGGATGTGTTTTGTATTCATATTGGAAAATAGAAGAATGAAACCTGTTGAAATTGTTCTAAGAACAGGGATGGGAGAAGGAAAGAGGGAGAATGATGGAGGGGACAAAATCTAACTAAGATATATTATAAGCGCATATGTAAATATCACAATGTATCCCTCTGTACAACTATAACATGGTAATAAAATCATTAAAAATGTTTTGGTTGGATATTTCTGAGTTCAATTATTTACTTACCTATACCATTCATAATTTTTTTCACATCTTTAAAATTATAGTGATTGGCTATATCACAAGTTTTACATGCATGGATAAATGTAGTTTTGTATTTATTCCATTCAGGACCATTATCTACTCAGAGGATGGAATCATTAGGGTTTCTGACCTGTGGAAGCTCTTGCATGAGGTAGTAGAAGCCTTTATTCTCCTCTCCAAGTAGGGCACTAGCTGGCAATCGGACATCTTCAAAGAACAGTTCTGCAGTATCCTAAGAGATGAGCTCATTTAAGTTTCCAATAACCCAAACAGATGACTTTACAAGTTCCACAGAAGTAAGAAAATATCAGAAGCCACATTGGCGTGGTTAGTGAACACAGTAGTACATGGTAAACCAAGGATTCAAATCCAAGGCTATCTGATTCCAAAACTATGGCTTTGCCACTGCAACACACTGCATATGATCCAGTTTACTAGGTGATAGAAATTTATTTTCTGTTCTTACTTCACAATTATGTTCAGTAAATTTCACAAACAGATGGCTTATTACCATGCATTAATTTTGGCATTTCTAAAGTTGATATGCCAAATATCCTCATCCATTTCCACTGCTGACTACTAAAAACAGATACAGTGGTATCACTGAGAATAAACCATTACCACTTCCGAAAAATGTATTTTAGGAATTCAGCTAGGGAAGACATGATTGTACCACATAATTCTTTGTCTTCTTTCTGACTGATAGTAAGCTCAACTATTACCTAAATATGATTTATATTATAACTTACCTGGGCTTTTAATCCCATTTTATGTAACTTCCGTCCCTTAATAAATCCTTTCATTCCATTTTCCACCAGAAAAAGGCTAATGCCATGGGCAGGGGAGCGAGCTTCACGATTTGTGATGGCCACTACAATCACAACATCACTCAGCCACCCATTAGTGATGAACACCTGCAAAATCCCAAGAACACTGTGATGCTCTGCTAGGTCCATGTACAAGTCAGGAACGGGGCAAACAAAGCATGTTCCAGAAGACTACAGCAGGAAAGGCACACTTGCTACCTCTCTATGCCTGATCCATGAAGTTGCAGGGTTTATTATTCATGTATGATCTTAGTAAAAACCAGGAAGAAATTACTTAATTCTTCAATGAAGCACAGACATTTCTTCTCATTATTAATATTACAGATATTAATGATAACTGACAGAGATGAGGCTTTTAGAAATAAAACCAAATTATCTATTAAAACAATAAACTGGGAAGCTACAGATAAGAAAAGGAAATCTATTCTAAATGGCACATATTATTAAAGTATTTATGCTATCAGATTTTTCAGGTTTTGAAAGCACTTGATTTTTTAAATAGAAATGTCATAAATAAGAAAAAGACTACAATGGAAGAATGAAAAAATAACAACCAGGAGGAATTATCTGAGGATACTGATTCAGAAAATAGTCATCCTCTACAGATGGATGGCTCCAAATCTCTATCTAAGCCAGACACATTTCTTTCTTTTTTTTTTTCAGTAGCACTGGGATTTGAACTGAGGGCCTCACACTTGCCAACTTGAGCCATGTCTCCAGCCCTTTTTGCTTTAGTTCTTTTTCAGATATGGTCTCACATTTTTGCCCAGGCTGGCCTCAGACCACAACCTTCCTAGCTCTGCCTCTCACACAGCTGTGACAACAGGAGTGCACCATGATGCTCAGCTTCTTTGTTTGGGTGGGCTCTTGCTAACTTCTTTTGCAGGTTGACCTCTTAACTGCAATCCTCCCGATCTCTACCTCCTGACTAGCTAGGATTGCAGCCACATTGTTTGGATAGAATCTAGACCTGTCTACCATCCTGCTTCCAGACAGTTTCACCTGATAACTCACGGACAGAACATATTCCTTACCACCCTGCTCCTATCCAATCTTGAGTATCAACCTATTTTCCTTTGTCAATGAATGTATCAATACATCACACTATCATTTTGCTTCACATTTAAGCCAGTATCTGTTTCTAATTCATTTTAAAACTTTTTGAATCACTCTCTTTCTTTCACTTCTCTTGCTGTTACCTTTCTCCAGCCCTTGTCAGCTCTTGCACAAGTTCCTACAACTGATCTCACTGTATGCAGCTGTCACCCATTAAATCCACTGGCTTTCTCAAAGGCAATCTTATCCTATCACCTTCACACTCAAGTCTTTGAACAGTTCCTAATAGGCTTCAGGATAAATTGTAAATCCTTAGCAAAATGTATAAAACTCATCACAGGCTGGTACTAGGTTACCTCTTCCCTCCTCTTTTATCCTACTGTGCCCCAGTTCCCTGGTCTCACGTTAGCTCTTTTGAATTACTTATTGCCCCACACTCTACAAAGTGTTCCTGACCTAAGGCTTTGAACATCTTGCTCCATCCTTAGGAGACCCTTTTCTAACTCTGACAGAATGAATCCTACTCATCATGGTCTAAGTTCGAAAAGTCTTCTCGAGTTGGCAGGTTGGGCTAAGCACTCCCACAGCAACATCCAGTTACCACCATCTTAGCATCTATCAAGCTGGGTTTCAATGATCTGTTTTTATCTCTCTCTTTAAAGTAGGGGGTACAAAATGGTGATAGTTACTTTCAATCCCGTAACGTCCATGTGGTTATAAGATCTATGCTCTAAATACAGAGTGCTGATACATGTAAGTAATGGGAAACTGGCATATGCTGGTGTTACCTAGACAAAAGTAAATGAAGGGAGTGGGGGTCTGGCTATTGGTGACACAGTAATAACCCTCAACATGCCTCCCCACTAGAACTCCTACTCATTTCCTATTCACATATGGATTCTCAGTGCGTAGGACAGTTTTTGGCATATAAAAGGCCTTTGAAGATTTTTTAAAAATATATTTTGAAAAACATGTTTTCAAAAACTCTATGCACCATTACATCACTTCCTTGCAGTTCTAATTTCCCTGCCTTTCTACAAGAATAGTAACAATTCTGAGTAGCTGACATAGTTGAGCAGCGGAGTGCTTTTTTGAATTACAGAGAAATTGGTACTTGTATGCTCTAAAGTTCATAATCACAGAAACGTATTAATTACAGATAATAAACAATGAAAGGTAAAGAGTGGAGCAGTACATAGGGAAAAAAATATTCACTTTAATACTCTGATCTCAAGTTAGCAAAACCAACTGAAGTTCTACAAAAGTTCCTGGAAGTACAGAAAAGGATTCTGACCAATTTCTACAACAGCGTGACCTACTGGGAGTATTTTCCTGACTGATGCCTTTTCTTAGAAAGTTCAAAGAGAATTCTCTTTGAAAGTGGTCTTTCTTGGTTTGTTTCCTAATTATGATAGTCAAAAGTTTGGAAAGGGCTACAATCATCCTGGAGGCATGTTTTTTATTAAATGGTTATATTATAACACAAGCTCACTGTAGATGTTATAAATACAGAATGTAAAGTTATAAAGAAAAAAAGTCTTCTTAGTCCATCATATAAATATATTGAGCTTCCTTGCTTGTCTTTTTCCTTGCAATATAGTTTTTACTATTCTATATCCTGTTTTATTACTTAAGATTAACATATAATTCCACAGTCATAAAAATTATACAGCTAATTTTATGTTGGTATTTTGATATCAATATAATAGATGCATATTAGCTCTGATGTTCTATATTTACTTACCCTTTCCTTTGCTTTTATTTGCTTTCCATTTTTGCTAACAGTTTTTGAAAATGATTTAATGGTCTTTCCTGAGTAGTTCCCACTGAAGACCACAACTTAGCAGATAGGTCATGTTCTAAAAGCTATGGTAATAAGAGAATATGGTTCTAGGAAACTGTGAAGCAGGGCAAGTACAATTAATGTATTTTGTATAGGTGTAGAAAAATGAACAATGAAACCTGTTGAAACTATTCTAAGGGGGGACTGAAGAGTTGAGGGAGAATGATGGAGGGGTTGAATCTAATTAAGATACATTGTAAGCACATATGTACACATCACAATGAAACCTTCCTGTACAACTAATATAGGCTAGTAAATAAAATAAAATCAGAAAAAAAACCCAATGAGATTCCCATGCCTCAAGCAAGGAAACTCAATATATTTATATGATGGACTAAGAAGACTTTTTTGACTAACCCCACTCTACTTTCAGAACAAACTCTCTACATGTAGGAGGTTAACTGATTATGTATGGGAGTTGGCACCTGTTTTCTTGTTTTTTATAATCCTTGATCCAAATAATTCAGACTAATGTTTCTTTCATTCATTCTAATTTTTATTTATTTGTCTTCTGAAATAGAGTATTCCTATGTAGTCCAGATTATCCTCAAATTTGTAATCCTGCCTCCTGAATAGAGGGGATTACAAGCATGTGCCACCTCACTGGACTATATTTCTTAAAAGTATAATTGAACATCAGTGATTCATAATACTCTATAAAAAGAATTTTTTCTAGGATACAGTTTATCTGATGGTATATGCCAGACACAGACACATTCTTAGGTAGATGTTATCAACTGCCCTCAGTGACACTGTCCTCGGGGATGATGTTTATTCTTGAACCATTTGTAAACCACTTTGGAGGAGCTCACCATTGTCTATAATTAATTCTCAGAAGGACTGAAGGGTTCTTGAATTCTATTATTTGGTGTCTTTCACTCTCAGGCTCTTTTGAAACTTTTTGATATTTATCAGACAACTTTTCCCTCAATCTTTCACCAACATAAAACTCAGTTATTGTTAGTCCCATATTTGGACCATGCAAATCTTATTTTCCCATTTTCTCATTTGGTAAGGGTAGTTTGAATGCAGTATTTGTGAGGAACACCCAACATGGAAGATAGAAGAGGTCACCCATATGTCTTGTGTCATATGACAGCTGTAAATTGTTTACTATCCCCAAAACACACTGGTAAACAATTCCTGTGTGAATCCTTACATGCACAGAATCAGTCATAAAAAAGTCAAGCGTGATGGTGCATGCCTATTAATTCTAGCACTTGTGAAGCTGAAGCAGGTGGATTAGAAGTTTGAAGCCAGCCTGAGCTACATAGCAAGACCATGTCTCAATAGCCAAAAAAAAAAAACCAATAACGAGTAGGGTAAGAAGCCCCTTTTTACACACCTTACTTCCATTGAGAATCCAATCACTTCCATCCTTTTTGGCATTTGTTCTTACTCCTTGTAAGTCACTATAATTGAAAAAAAGGAAAAATTCATCAGTTGGGAAAAATCAAGCTATGCAAATGCTGTTATGCAAGTATGTAATGTGATCATCCAAATTGGAAGCACTGTTGTAAAACTCCCAGTATTAGGAACGTTCACACAATTGCACTAAAAAGTCATGTCTGGTTCATTACATTCGAAAGATAATCCAGGAATGATTATGATTAAGATTACATGAAGTAGCCAGACTTTACAGAGTACACAGAAGCCCAATCAACAGTCAAGATCCCAAAATTGCACTCAGATGACATTTTGAGGCTTACTATGCCCTGAGGTAATATGTCACCATGCACTTATTGTCCCTTTTCAGCAACAGTTTAAATATTTGAAGGACTACGCCTCATTTGCGATTTCTTCTAACAAACCTACCCTGAAAGGAGGGTATTTTTTCTAATATAAGGCAAGCAAATATTTCTAATTAAAATATGAAAAATACAGACAGTATTCTGAAGGAGAAAAATAATTTTTATCTCTGAAATAAACATTTTAAAAGTACATCTAATATTTTGCAATGAATACAAACATGTATGTATTTTTATAAAACTGAAACTATACATACAATTTTTAATGTTTTTCTGTAAGGTAATTTTTACCTACATCGACTGTCATGTGAATTTACTGTGATTTTTAAAAAACAAACCTAGTATTGAATACTTAGGTTTCAGTTTTCATGAATATATTACAATGAATAGCATCACATATAAAGTGTCCATCCAAGTCACTTCCTGAGAAGTTTTTCTGATTATTCTTGTATATGATCTGATATTTACTTATATTTTAAAAAAATTTTATCGTTATGCTGGGGGAACAATGCGGCATTTACAAAAGTTCTTACAATATATCAAATATATAATACTTGAATTCATGCCCCCACCATTCTCTTTCATCCCCCACTCTCAATTCCTGGCATAGTTTCAACAGATACAATTTTTCCATTTACATACATGTATACATAGTATTTACACTGTATTCACCCTCCTTCACATTTCCCCACCTCCTCTCTCTTCCTACCCATACCAACCCTGCCCCTGTCAAGATATTTTTAAACACCATAGCACTTTTTGCTTTGTTTATTTATTTCTTTGTTTTTGGAGACAGGGTCTCCCTATATAGCCAAGGCTGGCTCAAACTTGTCATCTCCTGCCTCTAACTCCCAAATACTGGAATTACAGGCATGGGCCAATGTCCAGATTCCATGGCAATTTTTTTTTTCACTCTCTATGTTAGGCTGAATAATAACATGTCCCCCACCAGATGATATCAGGTTCAAGTCCCTGAAACCATATAAAGTGTTACTTTATATGGGAAAAGGATCTTGCAGATGGATTCTTCCCTATATCATCCAGATGGAGTGAGGCCCTACTGACATTTTGATGAGGGCCCAGGGAAAACAACTTTGGACTTCTGGCCTTCACAATTATGAGAGAATCACATTTTAAGGCTAAATATTGTTGTATTCTAACATAGCAACTTTCATCATTAGTAAGTATAAAATATCAGCTCCTAAAATCTATTCATGGTCTATTAAAACAATTCTATACAAGGAATATCACTGTAATACATGTAATGAGATTGCTCAGTGGGTTTTTGTTACATTTCTAAATGGCAAATATGAAATACTGAAAATGGCTTAAAGATATACTACTTGATATTCAGATCCTCACAATAATCCCATTAAGTACATTATCTCAGTTTCACTGCCATGGATACTGAGGTTCATAGACTTCACTCAAGATCACAGAGCTGATGTCAGAATTCCTCAGCTCCAATGCCATCACGAATTTGCACTATGAACTTGGATAAAATACCTTATTTCTCACGCTCTGTTTTTTCCTGACATGGGGACCATAAGACTTCTATATTCCATATAGATTATTATGATAGCCAAATGAGAAAATCAACATGAAAGCATTTACCAAATGCTAAGGTATCATACAAATATACACAACCATACATAATGAAGTGGCCTAGGTACATGGAAAGGGAAGGAGAGGCAGTGGAGCTCTAGGTGATTCCCAGCAATCCCTTTTCTGTGGAGGTCAAAACAAAGCAAGAATACAGACAGTAGCCAATTCATGTCTGAGGGAAGACAAAAGGAACCATGTTCCATCTTCTCTATTCCTTCTTTCACACATTTTCCTTATTTCTCAACACTTATATAACAATCTTATTCACACACATCTTTTCTCCATTCTTCACTCTTACTTTTAAAATGTGCTGCTACTCCAGCCTGTCTCCAGAGTTCCAAACACACATTTTTATAGCCCACTCAACATTTCCATGCGACCATCACCCCAAATTTATCATGCTGAAGATTCAACTCAGATCCTTGTAGTTGAGTAACACAATGTTGACAACCCAAGCACAGTATGTACTACAACTGCTTTACTATTATTCATATACAAAAATGACTTATTTTCCTAATGGAGGTTTAAGTTTCTTAAGGCTGTAGTTAATGATGCATTCGCTTTGCCCTATATATAGCTCAGAGTCTTTTGTAAAGTTTAGTCACCCCTCACTATCCATGGGGGATTGGTTCCAGGAGCTGCCCCCTGCCAACATCAAACTCCAGTTACCCTTGCCCTATATACAACTGTGCAGTGCTTGCATATAATTCAAGTATATCTTCCTGTGTATTTCAAATCATCTCTAGATTACTTAGATTATAGCTAAGACAATGTAAATCTATTTAAATAAGGGAGTGACAAGAAAAATGTGTATACATATTCAATACAGGTACAATTATTTTCCTAATATTTTTGATCTGAGAATGTTTGAATCCATGGATTCGAAACCCACAGCACTTCATGTTCTGAGAAAATGGTTGCTGTCAGGACATTGCATCCAAGAATGCAAGACCAAGCAAATGCTGCCTTACCTGCCAGCCCCAGGCTCTGTCATTGCTATGGCACCAATACATTTTCCTGCAGTCATTTGGGGAATGAAGTGCTTAATCTGTTCTTCTGAGCCATAGTTGGCAATATAGGGCATGACAATATCTGAATGAAGACTGAAACCTGGGCCTGAACAATTCGAGTATCCTCTTAGAAAGAAAAAAAGAAGAAAATTTAAAGTACAAAATAGTTAGTCTTTAATTTCTTTCATTTTCATTTAAAATGATTAATATGATAACAAGGTATTAAAGGTCTTATATTGTGTGAAAACAGCCTGTTTCCTCATAAAGATATGACTTTCTTTTTTTTCCTTGACAATACGGGATTTGAATTCAGGGCTTTGTACTTGTGCCTGCTCTATCTTTTGAGCCATGCCTCCAGCCCTTTCATAAATCTTTTACTTGCTGGCTCTAACATAGTAACAGTATTATAGCAGCTCAATCAACACTTACTTAATGAATTAAGAGATAAAATATTGGGCAGGCAGAGTGGCTCATCTGGTAGAGCACCTGCCTAGCAACTACTGAGGTCCTGAGTTCAAACTCCAGTACCACCACCAGAAAAAAAAAGAGAGAGATAAAATGCTGATCACCTATGCTTCTATTACCCTAACACAGCCAACTATTTTTATTATGAAAAACCACCTTTGGACAGATTCTAATACAGATGCAAATTATGAATTTTGTACTTTGCTATTTTCTTCTTATAAGATATAACAAAATTCCTTTTAAAAATTTAACTTTTTAAATTTAAAAATTTTAGTTTTTTATAAAAAAATTAGTTTTAAAATTTAATCTTAAATATCTAGAAAATATTTCAATTGTTTATGTCTCAAAATTTATTTATTCCTTCTCTCATTGCTGGACTACTTCAAATTTGGGGGACTATGATCTACCACAACAATAATTTCTGAACACACTATTTTTTTGCTATTATTTTGTTAAGATAAATTCCCCAAAACGGCACCCTCAGTCAAAGAACAGGAACATTTTCATTTTTCATAGGTATTCACCTTTTAATTCCAAAAATGTTTATTTTTCTAATTTACAATGCCACCAACAGTATATGACTGTGCCATTTCACAACAACCTTGTTAACACTGGGTATTAAGATTTGTCATTTTCACTAATTTTATAGATATGTAAAATGACATCTCTAGGTCAATTTTAATTCACATTTAATTTACTAAGTATGAACTTTTTCATTTAAAAGAACTTAATTTTTAACATTTAATTTTTGATGAATTATTGTTTCAAACATTTGTCCATTTTTACCTGAAAACTTTATGAGTACTTATATATTTAATTTTTAGTATATTTAATGGAAATATTTTTCCATTCTGCTGTTCTGTTTCAAATATATTTTAAAGGGAGAAAAAATCTGAACATATAGGTCAGAAATAAAGCTATCTCTTCAACTTTCAATAGCACCTATTCAACAACACAGAAAAGCATTTTCTTATCTTTCCACACCCAAAAAGTTTCCAAGAATATATGAGTGGTGTAATCGTTCACATTTTACATTGAGGTTTCAATGTAAATCATTTTTATTATTTCAGAAGTGAATTTATAAAGCAAACTCAACTTCAGATGTCTCCATACTTACTGTTCCTCCCAAACAACAGCTGTCGAGAGCAAGTCACCACCAATACCACCATACTTCTCTGCAATGTTGATACCGAGCAGTCCTTGTTTTCCAGCTTTTTCCCAAAGCTCTCTACTCACTTCTCCAGTTTTCTCCCATCTGCAAATAACAAATGTTTTGAATTCAAACAAACCTCTTTTAAATTATTTAAATGGCCACACTTTGAATTAATCAATAATTCTGTACAGGAATGCCTCTTAATGTAAGGTAACTGATGACACTGGCCTTACCTTTCTATTTTCATCTGACTCTGCATCAATTTATCCTCTTTCCCTTTTCTCGTCCTTGCTTCATATTTGCCACTTTTTGCCCCTTCCTTGACTACTTATTGGACCTCAAAATAATACCCACTGCTATTCATGAGTGGAACTGCATTCAATCGGTGCTGTTAGGGTACAAGCTTAGTTGTGCCAGAGTCATGGGAATTTGCCCAACCTGTCTTGTAAATTCTCCTCTATGTATTTCCTTAAAAGCTAAACGTATGTATCAAAGCTCACAAGAGCAAGCAATCACATAACATTTAAATAGGAACGGGAAGAGGAAGCACCTTGAAGCCTAGATCTAGCAAATGAATTTCCACTAAGATTGTGCCTTCTCAGCTTACCTACCTCTTCCCACCCCATTCCATGCTGGGAATGGAATCCAGAGCCTCAAGCATGCTCTATTCATGAGCTACATCCTCAGCCCCAGGTTTTCTTTAAAAATGGCAATGGCATGATGAGGAAACAGATGCTTAGAGAAATGATAGAATAATTAAAACTTTTTTTGTTTCTTTAAAGTGATAGATAAAGTAAGACACGGAGCATCTGACATACTGACTGAAGGTAAATACAGATCCTAGGAGAAATTTATAAGAATTTGATCATTTTTTTTCAAGACCTTCTCAACAATATTTCTGAAACAAAACTGAAAAGCAGTAAAGAAATAAAAATTCTCCTAGAACAAAGAATACTATGATTCTCTCAGAATTTAGCTAATTTTGATCATGCTAGCCAAAAAAGTATTAATTAAAAATCTAATGGATTTTTAAAATCTATCAAATAATATTAAATAGTACTTTAATGACATTTTTAAATAACATTTTAAGAATAGTATTTAAGGGCTGGCAGGGTGGCTCAAGTGGTAGAGCACCTGCCTAATAAGTATGAGATCCTGAGTTCAAACCACAGTATTGCCAAAAGAAAATAATAATATTAAATAATATTTTAAATAACATTTTTAAACCTTCTAAACAGAGTAAGGTTGAATTTTTTGGAAACACAGCAAAATTCTATTTTAACAGACAGGTTTTTTTTGTCAACAATAGGAAATTAGTCAATCAAAACATATCCAGAAATAAACTGATTTTTAAGAGTTGGCCAGTTGCTTACAAGACATGCATTACAGTGATTCAAATATCATTTTTATGTATTTTAATTCACTCGGGAAACAGAAAAAGAATGTGAAATGGGTTAGCAACTTTCTGCCACTTAAACATAGTTTTAAAAAATACTATTCTTATATTAAGTTGCAAGCTTTCAAATTTTCTCATTGAATTGCATATTTGAAAATTTATTTTAAAAGGCCAGGTGTGGTGGCTACAAGACTGCAGTCCCAACTACTCAGGAAGCTGAGAAAGGAAGCTCACTTGGGCCCGGGAATTCAAGATTAACCTGGGCAAAACAGCAAGACCCTACCTTGAAGATAAAACTAAAGGAAAATCTAAAATAATTTACTTGAAAAGCTATGAACAGAGTTGAGGGTGTGGCTCAGTGGTAGAGTATGTGCCTAGTATAAGAGGACCAGGGTTCAAAACCCAGAACTGAAAAAAAATAAAAAGCTAAGAATCCTAGGATTTTATAGTACTGTGGTGAAGAGAAGTAAAAATGTGATTAAAGCACTGAACATTACTTTTTCTGTACTGCTGCCGTTTACCAGCTGGACCTGGGTGACTGGAGCCATAAAAGATGAGGGGACTACTGAGTCTTGCTAATAGCCACTTTAATGAAGATCACTTCTGCTTTTTATAAACTCCTCTTACAAGCATGCCAAGTATTATGTGTCAAAGTTACATTAGCACAGGGAAGCACAGTTAAAATTAAGTCTTTGTTACGTCTCTTTTAAAACAGGAACAGACAAGCAGGAGAAGCTCACGTTCAGCATAACCTTCTTATTTACATCTGAAGGACACGAAGCCATCGGGGGAAACTTGAGCACTGTTATTTTTCTAGATGTCTGGTTCTGAGGCCTTTGCCTCAGTTCCTTGGAGCTTTCTCACAAGGCCAGATACCAACTCACACAGGCACAGTCCCACTGCTGGCTCCGACACTGTACAACATACAGCATTCTAGGACATGGTTCTTTTCTTACACGGCATTAAAGGAAACTGTGCCACTTACTCTGCATGATAAGGAACCACTTCTTCTTGAAAAAACTTCCTCACAGATTCCCGGAAAATGTCATGCTCTGAAGAAAAGATTCTTCTAATTCCTATGTCTGTTAATTTTTTAGCAGAAGGTGATTCTAGACGTTCTTCCCCTCCGGAATGAGAACATCTTAAAAAAAAGTATTAAAAATTAAGTGAATCCTTGCTCTTTCTGTATAAAGTAATGACAAAGAATAACAAAGAACACTGATACCTTTCCTAGCAACACTTAGAGCATCACCTTTGAGAGGATCTCCCATACCTTGCTGGGATTCAGAAGTAGCTGCCAATTCAGTCTCCACTTACAAATCCATAAGGAGGATAATGCCTGGAACTAACCACAGCTCTGACACACAATACAGATTAAATTACATAAAATTTAAACAGTACAACAGAATAATACTGGTAAGTTTTATTTAATGCCATGCACAATGTTTAAAGTAATGAAAACTCTCCAAAATTAATATTTCATCCAGAATCACACAATTTTAAATGGTGAGTATATAAAACGTGTTGACGCTACTGCCACTTTACAGAGCCAATCTTGGTCTAAATCAAAATGCCCAACAAAATTCTGTATGGATTTGTATGAAATTATTCAAGATCTTCAGAAGCTGACCCTTTTTTCCCTCCCTCTACCCCGTACTAAGCTTAAAATGAGACTGCTCTGAAGTTCCTTCAGTTCAACAGTCTTCAGACTTATTTTCTTCTCTCCCTTTTGCTCCTCCACTATGTCCCCCTGGAACAATAATCTTTTGTATATTTTTATGCTCACATTCTAAAAAAATTTTTTTGAAAAAAAATTATTTTTTAAAAAAATTAAATAAATGTGGGTTATGGGAAGTGTGTAACCTGGGCCTTCAGCACCTTCTCAATGATGTGAACCATGACTCACATATCTGACACTGCATCCTGATCTAAAATGTTGGGCTGGGCTTGGTTTGGGAAATGGTTTCAAAGAGGTGTTCTAGATCCATGCTGGGGTCCCAAAGGGACATGTAATCATCTGCAGCAAGAGACACTACAAAGTTGTCTGTTATGCAGCAACCAATGAGGTCTAGAGAGCAAATGAAGGGCTTAAAGGTCTTTGGGTACAACTTGGCAATGACTGGCTCTGTGTAGTAGGGGCTGAACCATTTCTCATACAAGAGATTGGCTACCATGCTCATGAGAGCATTAAGACTTGACCTGCCAACCTTCCTTCAACTCCTACAGGTTCAGCTGGAACTTGAGGTTCCAGGCAACTGTCTGGATATTGATGCTGAGCCCTACCAAGCCAATGTACAGCCAGTCACCCACAGGAAAGATCTTCTGAAGTCAGTGGTCACCATCTGGGCCTGGATCCCAAAGCACCTATCTGCAGCAATGGCCACAGTTCTTCCCCTTTAAGACCATGATGACCCTCTCCATTACAGGACACATACATGATTACTGGGTACCCTGATGGGGCCACAATTTTGGCAGACTAGTCCTGGTGTTTACTGCACTAACACTTTTGCTATGTCCCTAAAAAACTTTTATCATATATTCAAATAAGGTCAAAACATATTTTTCTGGTTTTCATTAAGCTCTGATTCAGGTTTCTCTCTTCCTAAAGTGGAATTTGCTTTTTCTTTATTAAAAATTTTTGTCTAGAAAAGACCTATTTCATGTAATTAATCAAATTAGACTTACAGGGGTTTAATACAGAGCTTTTACCTACACATTAAAGCATGTCTCCAAGGTCCTCCTAATTTATTATTTTTAAAGTTACAGTAAATCAGCTTAATGTACTGTTATTAATCAATCTTATCTGTTGACATTTAGGTTGTTTCAGCCTTTTATCCCTTGCAAAATGATCCTTTTGTTCTAGAATGTTCTAGAATGACTTTTCTATTTTTGTTTAATATTATGGACTAAATTATGTCCCCCTAAAATTCATAGGCTGAAGTCCTAATCTCTGAAGTAAATGAATTTGGAGACTGGGATTTTAGGAGGTAATTAAGTTTAACAAGATCAAAAGGATAAGATCTTAATATGATAAGGCTGGTGGCCCCATAAGAAGAGATTCTCTCTATTCCCCAAGAAAAGGCTATTTGAGGGCACAATAAGAAAGACACAGTCCATAAGACAGCAAGAGGGTCCTCATCAGAAATCAAATCGGCTAGTACCTTGATCTTTTCCCAGCTTCCAGAAAGTAAGAAGTTCTGTTGTTTAAGGCACCTAGCCTATGCTATTTTACTTTGGTAGAACAAGGTGACTAATTTACTTAACATTCACTTAGTATCATTTTGCTCTAGGTTTACAGTTGCATATAGAAGAGATTTTACCCACTCCCTTCTCTCCTGGGGTGCTGGGGATGGATGGAACCCAGGGCCTCACACATACCAGATAAACATTCTACTATATAACCAAGTCATGAGACACCTTTTAGGTAGAGATCATTAGCTATGAACATTTAATACTTCGCTTTCTACCTTTTGTCTTCATTAACATATTCCTGATTACTACTGGGTCACCCAAATCATCATTTTACATGATTAATTTTTTTACTCATTAATTTAGTTAACATGTATTTACTGGGTTTAAAATTCTGTGCCAGGCACTGATGTAGTAACTTGAGATACAAGAGTGAGCCAAAGATTTCTGCAGTCAATACTTACATTCTAACAAAAGGAGACCACATAATAGTAAGTGATAAACACAGTAAGTAAACAAATTATGTAATAGATAAAAAATGCCATAGAAAAATAAAGAGAGAAGTGTGTGTCTGGGGTGAGTCTGGGGTCAGTCAAGGCAGGTAAAACTAGAAAGATGAGATCTATGTAAACCCTTGCAGAATTAGCCAAGCATGTTTCTAAAATAAAAAGACTCTTAAGACAAAAGAACAACTAGACAAAGGCTTAAGTATGGAAGAAGGGCTGGAGGTGTGTCTCAAGTGGTAGAGGGCCTATCTACCAAGTGTGAGGCCCTGAGTTCAACACCAGTAGCCAAAAGTAATAAATAAGTAACATTTGGGTCAGAAGTGTTGTTCAAGTGGTAGAATGCTTGCCTACCATGCACAAGGCCCTGGATTCAGTTCTCAGTACAATAAATAAATAAATGTAAAAAGAGCAGGGAGGCCAAGTGTGGCTGCAGTGGACTACAGAGAAGAGTGAAGCAGAGAACAGAACAAAGGACTAGGACTTGCAAGGGGCCTAAGAATCACTGTCATTTTGCATCAGACTAAAATTAACTTTATTCCGGTAACTTAAGTGATTGACTCCAATGTTTTGCTAGCAGAAATAAAACTATAAAGCACATATCTGTCCATATAGATTTTCCATAGTTGGGATTATTCTTCTGAGGAAAAAAAATATGGTGAGACTAAGAAACTGAGAGGTTCTAAGACACTGAGTCATTTGTCAATATGAGTAAATAGAGTTAAAATTTACATGCAAGTCTGCCTGGATCTTAACATTTTAAATCCCGTATTATATGAGAGAAATTTTTGGAACGTTTCTAAGTAAAATACTGTAAGGCACAGGAAAGAAAAAGAAATTCCAAATGAATAAAAATTTTGAGGTCAAAGGTGAGTCAAGAGAGAAAATGCAAAAGGAAGAAATCACTTCCGTGGCATCAAGTTTGTCCGGATGAGACTTAGAAACCTGTACTGAATAAACTGGCCACACACCCCTCAATAAGTTACTAATCTCACAGACTAGGCTCTTATTATTATTTTTTTTTCTTTTTTGGTGGGACTGAGGTTTGAACGCTGGGCTTTGCATTTGCAAAGCAGGTGTTCTACCGCTTGACCAACAGCTCCAGTCCACTTGGTTCTGGTTATTTTGGAGATGGAGGCTCTAATTATTTTTCAGTCTCATTTATATTTTCAAAAGGAAACAATCCACACTAGCACATTCCTTTAACACCTGAATCTGAATCTGCAGTTTAACAAGATCCCCAGTGATTCATAAGCAAGCAAAAGTTTAAGAAGCCTGTTACTTACAAAGAAACTATGACCCCTAGCCCATTTAGAGGGTCCCTTGGGTCTTCCTTTTCCCAATATTCTCCTTGAGAGTGTGGCTTTTCTTCCCGTACTTCAACCAAAATAACTGACTTTTGGGGTCCTCAAGTTTTAAGAGCATAAAAGAGTTTCGATACCAAAAAGTTTGAAAACAATGCTCTGGAGGGAAGAACATAGAAAAGTATGTGTACCCAAAAGGACCCGTGAAGCCTTCCCAAACCTCTGCAAGAAGAGTAATAATAAGTCTTGCAGCTCTCAAAGCACCTTAATTGTACTTTACAACAATGTGGCAATTAGCTAAATTACGCCTCCTGTCAAGCTAATAATGAATCCTAATAAATGCTTCCAGTTTGCTCACCAAATGAAGGGACTTTATGTATCACACAGAATGTGAGCCTTTGCAATCGTTATAAACACCTCCTTAGTCACTGAGCCACTTAGAAGCTCTCTCCATTAATTCCTCTGCATTTAACAAATCTTAAGGATTGCTACTAAACCTAAAGCTAATTTACCTAATGGGATCTTGCTAGGTCAGTCGTATCCAAATTATTTCCTTTGGGCACTCCTTCTGGATCACGTCGCCAAAGGCTAAGTCCTGCTCCCAAGTTCATGGTCAGGTGGCAGACCCCAGGCGCGTTCTAACTGGGTGAAAGGTCGCTGCTAAGCTGCGGCAGCCGCGCCCCTTCTTCCCGGGCGCCCGTCTAAGTGCAGGCTCCGTCCTGGGTGCCGCCTCACGCCGCGGAACCAGGCTGGACCGGATCCCGGGGTGGGGGGAGGCCGCCTTGCGAAATCCTTTTCCCCGTGGTGGGGGCGGCGGCCCATCGTGGGGGCACAGCTGGCACCCCCTTTCCCCGGGCCGAAGGTCCGCGCCCAGGCTCCGAAACCAGCCTAGTCTCATTCCCCCCCGCCCCCACGTCATTTCGGGGCCCAGCCTCGGTCCGGGCCAACCCTCCACCACCCCCTAACCCCCCCACCACCCCGCGCGGTGCCCCAGAAAGGTGAGTGTTGTCGCCCCTGTCGGGACCCCGCAAGCAATCACCTCGCGATAAGCGGCGCGCGCAGCACACGGCGAGCGCCCAGGACGCGCAGGGACCCGTGGAGAAGGCGCGCGGCCATGGAGGGACGGCAGGAGCAGGCGACGGAGACGACGGAAGGACGCGATCCGCGGTGCCACTGCGGCCTCTGGGCGACAACCGGCTGCTGGTGGGCGGACCGGACGGACTGGGTGCAGGGTAGGCGGACCCCGGCCTCCCGGGCTGAAGGCGGGGCGCGCCCTCTTCCGGGCCCAGCTCGGTGCAGCCCCGCCGCGCGCCCCTCGGGCTTCTCGCGGGACTCGGAAGGATACAATGTCGCCTTTCCCCGGCCGCAGCTTCTTCCTACGGTACTGACCCGCCCAGAGAAACCCACGGAAGCTGGAGTGCCCAAATGCGCCCAAACACATAACCACAGACATTTACATGAGATCTTTGTAACTTTGGAAGTTGATTTACTTCTCATAGGCAGCTACATAAAAACTGTTTTCAAAGAGTTGTTCCGTTATCAGTTTTTCTTGCAAAAATTCGTGGCTACTTCCTGAGAAAAATGAAAATATACTCGAGACACAAATAAAAAAGTGCCACGTTAATTCAGTTCTCCAATAGTACTTGGCTGGAGTACCTCTTGTCATTTCATTTCTGCTCAAGGCACCACTAACGTTTAACCATCCGTGTTTCAGTGAAGTCTGAGGTATTGAGGTATTTTTTTTGTAATGAGAAGCAGCTGAAGTTTTTTAACTCTAAAACACTCGTTGACTCTAAAAAATGATGTGCAGAGTGAATTCTAAAGAGGTAAATTAGGTCGCAGAGGTCGTTCTAGAACTCAAGGACAGTTACCATAGGTCTGAAATGGTGGAAGTGCGGAAGACATTTTGTGTTAGAAATGTAGGATTTAAGTAAGTTTTTAAAAAGCTATGGAGGTGTAGTTCAGTAACGAAGTGATAGCATGCGTGAAGCCTTAGGTTTAATTCCCAGCACTGCTTTAAAAAAAATAATAAAAGTTTTGTTCTAAACAGAAGACTAGATAGTGTTAGTTGACAGGGGGAACACAGAACTCCATCGCTCTTGCTAGAATTCTGGATTCGCTGGCCTGCTATTCCTACCTCTACCCTGTAATCTATTAGTCTGTGCTTCGATATTTATAAGTTTCATAAAACCAAAGTGTTGGTCTTTCAAGCCCACAGTTAGCTGATCAAGTAATTTGCCCATAGGGGGCAATAAAAGATCTGTAAAGGAAAAATCAAAACTCTTTAATATCTGCTTATATTCAACACACTCTACATCACTTCTGGACACAAAAATGTGTGGGATTGTTTCCCCTCATGCCAAGCAATTCCCCAGGGGACACCAATTTATTCAAATCAATCTATGAGAATATGTACCTAGAGATAATGTCAAATCCCGTAGATTAAGGATTCAGTCCCACAAGACTTCCCCTTCTTCAATAGCCGATTTCAAATTGCAGGTGGTGTCTGGTGCTTCTGACCAACCAGCTATAAATCAGCTCCTTACCAGTTGTCACTTGTCATTGCAGGAATTAAATGTATTGGTGGTTATAAAGGGCACAACACATGGATTTGCTGCAATTATTTGCAGCCAATTATTATTGGCCCAAAGTTTTATGATTACTGAATATCAAACCAAGGAATTTAGATTTGATATGGTAGGAAATAAAGAATCCCCATGGCTAAGGACAGCAAAATGGACTGAGTTCCACCTGATGTTGAGGGGTCAGCTCTGTATAAAATTCCTGCTTTCAAAAAGCAAGGAATATGGTTATGAAAACAAGACTGTCTTAAAAACACATAACAGAATATGATGAATTGAGGAATAAAGTAACAGTCCAGAGCAGACAGCTGATACAGTGAGTGGTCTTCTTGATTTGCTCCTTTTTCCTACTTTATTTTTATGGCAGAATGGAAAGAATCGTGAGCTAGAACATTCAACACACCTATACTGAGATTGAAAAGCCTCCCTTGGAGTTCTTACTCTGTACATGTCTCTGTTTCCTTATTTGTGATATGGAGATATTAATAGTATTTTTCTCATAGGCTTGTTGTGAAGCTAAAACAAGACAAAGTATGTAAAGCATCCAGTCTGACAGCAGTTGGAGCTCAGTATATAGTAACATCATGACTCGTTTCCTTACCTTAACTCTAAAAGGCCATGCTCTGCCCGAGTTGCCAGGAAAACAAATAAAACCCTGAGAACCTGACTCTTTCTCCTAATTTTATTCTGTATTATTCATTTGAAAAGTTTCTGTGGTGGTTGCTCCTTCTACTTTTCAGTTACTCAAACCAAAATCTCTTTTGAACAGTTTAGACAGTCCTTATGTTGTTTCTAGGTCCCCAGAGTGAGGCAGGCTTACTGGGATTAGCTTTAAGGTTTTACTCTTTTTCATTTCTTTCAATAGCTTGTTCTTTCCACTTTAGAAAAAGCAAGAGAGAAAGTGTCTAAGTCCCTTTTGTTAGTACCATTTAGGAAAATGCTGGCCTTAGTATCCTTTGACCCAGAGTGCATAAGCAATACAAGAGATTTTTAAAGCTAATACCAAAATAGATTAAAGTACAAATGGGTTTCATTTGTCCAAAAGTCTAAAACTGAGTAATAATTCTGGTTAAATGTTCCAGTCTAGTATTAGCAACTGCTGACAATGCTAGACTTTAACCTTTTCAGCCTTCAGTGGATCAAGACATTCATTCTTCGAGAGACAGTGTAAAACTCTAGACCATGAAGGGATAGAGGAGTTATCTAAATACTTGGAAGGTTTAAAAAGTCTCTTAGCTGAAAATGTTAAGACAATGTCACAGGGTCATATGTTAGCAGGAAATTTCAGAAACATGGCACCAGTAAATGGGCCAAAGTTAAGAGATTATCACATAATCAGAACAGAAGCAAAGGAAGGTGGGGCAAGGGCAGGGCTCAGCTAGAATCTGCCACATGTCTGGAAACCACTCTGGTTTGCTCAAATTGTCTCAAGTTTGTGTTGTATATAGTAGGTTGACTGGAACAGGCCAGCTACTAGGAGGCATGGGCTTGATTGGTACAGCACAAATTACTTAAAACTCTGCTTACTCACATATAGTTGAAGAACAACAGTGCTTATACAATTGTTGGAATAATCTTTCCAGATAATGGAGGTCAAGTGGTTAGCATAATGACATGATTACAATAAGCACTCAATAAATGGTAATTAATGTTATTGTCAATGAGAAATGTCCACATTTTAGAGTATAAAAAAGACAGAGCAAATCCTAAATTGGGGGGAAACGACTAAAAAAGAACCTTGACATTGAAGTAAGGAAAAGAAAATTACCCCTATAACAGGTACTTAGAAACTGCTTTTGCTAAACACTACTGACTCCTTACTTGGGCCCACAAATTAATAAAAGCAGGAGAAAAGCTTGTCATCCCTGCCTCAGTTTTGTATCTGCCTCCTTTACTTTGAGTCTTTCTTCCCTGCAATCACCTTGGGTTCTAGTAAGGAAGGACTGATGGTTAACACTTTACATAGGGCCCAAAACTACCCCAAAGAAAGGTACAACCAGAACTTTGCAGGAGAGACTACCCCCCAAGTGAGGACAATTGCCCATAACGAGGAGGCTGACCCAACAACAGGAGTAATCATCTCTTGGGAACAAGATTGCTCCCCTCTAGCATTGGCAGGAATAACAATGTCTCCTGGACCCCTAGGAGAACCAGAACTGAGATTTTGTTCAACCAGGACACACTTACCCGGGGACTGTTTAATTACATATCTCTCACCCCATACCCCAGTTCTTCCTCTTTTTAAACCTAAAGCTCATTTCTGTACCCTGAAGATGGACTGAAGAGCTTACTTTCCCTCTTACCACAGCATGCCTATGTCATGTAATAAGTCTCTTTTCTCTGCCTTTCATCACCAGACATCTTTTTATTTGACAAGTTGGAACAAGTTGCTAGACCTGATTCTGGAACCACTGGAGTCAGTCCTGTCTGCCTAGAGCTCCAGTTATATCACTTGGTCTTCAATCCAAATTTAAAAATATTTTACCTTTTGGAGAGGGTCAGGAATAAAACAGCTCTCAATCACATTTTGCTCTCCCTTTCTGGTTCTTATAGTACTTATTCAATGTTACACAAGTGTATACCATCTTGCACATTTAAAACTCATTTTGTGTAGTGTTGCAATGCCTGTTCCACTTGAGGGTAAATGATAGAGGAATGAGGCTGCTTATGACTTTGCTCTGACACCTCAGCAAATATCATGGTTCTTTCCAAACCTGATTGAAATTCCAGCTTCTCTAGCCCAAGTCACTAGTATCTGTATATATATAAATGTATAAAAACTGAGTGGCTAGGAACTACTACTTTATAATTTTATGTTTGATTTGATGAATACCTTGATGACACACTGAGAACCTGAAACTGGAGTTTGGTTTTCTAAATTTCTCTGAACTATTTTCTTTTCCCTTCCAGAGAAAAATAGGTTTTTAAGTTTTTTATTGGCATATATTAATTGTACAAAGGGTTTCATTGTGATATTTCTGTACATGGATATCCTCTGTTACTCAGAGGATAATAGTTTCAAAACTAGCTGCTGTTTTATGTTTGGGGACATTTTCTTTAAAAAATTAAATATTTTAGCCAACATAATTTTTTCAGTAAATCTAATTGTCAGTATTCAGAATGGGTTTGTGTAAATCTGAACCTTCAAATCCTGATCTGCTTCCCTATGGGTCACACCAGTAACATGATCAAAATATTAATTACAAGCAAAATATTCTAAGCAAAAATTGCTCAGAAGCACAAAAGATTATAAAATTTATATTCTAGGGCTGCTGTGTCCTTTATAGCTACTCTATATAGAGTTCATTAGAAAAAGTATATATGTACAAAGCAAAACTGATCTTCTCAAGCATTAACATTATGTATAAGTTTACCATTACAGTGGTAGACTAAGGAATTCTAAGTAATAGTAATTCTGTTGTATGAATCCTGAAAAATGTCAGAAGGATGATTACCAAGCCATTTTGTGTACCTAACACATTCCTCTGGAGAGGTAATCTGTATTCTGGGTAAGATTAGCCTTCATTGTAAGATTTCTTCAAGAATGCATGTCCTTCATCCTTTTAGCCTTATTTGAATGAATAAGTTTGTTATAATTTCCATAGAAACCTGAATGTATTTGCTGAAGCCCTATCCTACATTGGGAGGATTGCTTCTATATAGAGCACATCTTGGGTAAAAGGATTTTTAATCAAATTTAGTCAAATTAACCTATAATTAAAAGTTTTATTTTTAAGTGTCATTTATG